ATACTGTTTGTTCACAGTTTAAAAGTTGTGCGGTGTTCAGATATTGATATTTTGATTATTTTTTCTTTCTTTCTTTCTTTCTTTTAATTGATTTATTTATTCATATATATATATTTTTTTTTTTTTTTTTTTTTTTTTTTTTTTCAGGGTGAAGGTGGAGGTGGTGAAGAAGGTGAAAAGATAGAAGAAGAAGGTATAGAAGGTGAAGAAAAGACAGCACTAAATCACATAGCTATGAGGTAATCATATTAGACAATTCTAAAAGGTTGTCATATTTTTCTCTACAACTAGCATATAAAATGGATTGAAATATTATGTATGCATTAATTATAGATATATTAGTTAAAGATTAATTATAACCCTTTGCTTTTTTGCATTGTCAGTTCTAGCAGACAATAAGATATTATTTTTCTAAGATCAGATTGACAGCCTTTCTCCATACAAAATTTTATTTGACTCTTAAACCACTAGCAACTGTATATTTTGAAGCCAAAAAACAATGGCTTTTGGGCGGCTTCAAAATTGGCGCACGGGGCTGGCCCGGAATCTACCCGCACGCCGGCTGCGGTCCGCGATGGAATCGGAGCACAAGCTCCGATCCAGCATCACACCAATGTGAGACACCAGTTGTAAATGAGTTAGTCAGCTATAATCAGATTGTTGACCCAGTGCCGCGGGGTAAAAAGTTTGGCAAAAGGATTTGATAACGGGATTGTTGGTGCTTATCGACAGTTTCCCCAATTTGTACCCAGCTCGTTAGGTAGTTTAGGAGCGATATTTGTACCTAAAATCTTTTATTTTGCTATAATTTATAAAAGATTTATAATCCTGAAGGTTTACTCTCATTATATGTGCTATTGCCTAAAATCTTTACCATATAAATAAAGCCGCTACTATTGGAGAAAAACAAACTCCATCCAACGAGCCAGTGGCGTGGGAATGGTCATGATATAATGCCATCTGTTTTTCAGTCCACAACAGCAATGGTGTGTATGTACATGCCACCTAGTGGTTAACCCATTTGTGATGGGTGTCCCATGTATGAGACACCCAGAAAAAAAAAAAAAATGCCGGGCGTCCCACTGATGTGGTGCTGGATCGGAGCTTGCGCTCCAATTCTGTCATGGGCCTCGGCCGGCACACGGGCATATTCCAGGCCAGCCCGGCACGCTGATTGTGAAGCCACCCAGAGACTATTATTTTCGGCTTAAAAATATACTGGCACCAGTGGGTTAAGTGAGTTGTTTCAGCATAAATCAGTGAAGTCTGTATAAGAAGATTTACATTATGGCTTACCTTATTTAAAGCCTATTTATTTACCGCACAAATTCTTTTATTTCCCGTAATATTTACACAATTTTCATAAAACCATTTATTTCCAGGGATGGTGATGCTGCCAGTCATGCAAAGGTACAGATAGAACATGACCAAATACCAGAAGAAGGAAAATATGATGATTATGAAAATGAAGGGGATATGGAAGAAGGTGAGGCCATATTTTCTTTTCATAACTCAATTCTTCTTGTTTTGAACTCAGTTTATTTTTTTCCAGAGATGTTTGTTAGCCATATGCTTTATCTCAACATAATATATCATAATCTTACATGATATGTTCATCATATATACTGTGTAATTTTATTTGTGCTCTTTCTTTTTTGATAAGGAAAGAAAAGTTGATAGCATAACTTTCAAAATGAGATTCTTAAATGTTTAGTATGTCATAAATGAACATATACAGCACTTTGAAGCATGGATCTTGAAATATGATAGCCCATGATAGTTCACATGTTTCTAGCTAATACTATTTTTGGTTTAAAAAAAAAAAAATGTATGTTCTATGCATTGATAATCATAAAATCATAAACCATGTCCTTAAAGGAATCCTAAACACGATAGAATACCTTCCTTCCTCTATCCTCTTTACAGAATTTTTTTATAAATATTGAACAACAATATCACACAAATCATCTATTAATATTGCTTTTGAATATATTCTAATATCCTTGTCTGCATAGTTTGTCCTCCATGATAGTATGATCTCAAAATCTTCCTAATATTCAGGGGCCCTATTCTTAAACCCTTTTGGTAATCAGACCCATTATATAGTGCTGTATGGGTGCTCTTGTAGCTTATACTGTAATAGCATATTCTGAATGTATTAACTTTTCTTTTACAAGTGACAGAAATGCTTCTTCATTAGTTAATTGACTTTCATTTACTATTATTATCAATAGTGTCATTATTATTATTTTTTTTTTTATTGACACGTTTTTAATTCATTTATAAGAGATCAGTGACCATCATGACCTGTTTCTTATTAAACTTTATTATGCCTTGAATGTATTGAGATGCAGCTGATTTCAATGCATTGATTGATGTTTCTTCTATATTTCAAATTATATGGTATCATTTATATCCTTGGATGAATTTTTGCAATGGTCTTGATTCCTTAGTAATTAGAAAATTTATTGTTAGACTGTTTTTCCTATAAATTTTTCTCTTACCTATAGGAGACCAGATTTTTTTTTTTTTTTTTTTTTCTTCTTCTTCCTTTTTTAATGATTATCCTCAAGTATATACTCACATTCCAATGACGTCAACAATAGGTTGTAATTTCATATCCTTTTTTGATGCATTTCTGTACAACAGATAGATTAGTAGCGGTTTAATTTATTTAGGAAAAAAGTCTTCTTAAGGTTATAGGTGATACTGTATGGCCTGTCAGAGAGTTATTCAAAATGATAAAGAAGCTGCTGCAGAAATAGCAAATTATAGTACTTAATGTTTTTCACAGTAAGCTTTGGTGAATTGATTTTGACTTGTATGAGGATGGCTTTGAGAGGATTCAACTTCTTAATAAATCAGTTTTGATAATCTAAAAGAAACTAACATATTTGACATATATATCAAGGACAGTGTAAAACAAAAGATACTGAATAGTTAGATTTAAAGTGCTGTATATGGAAATGAATTCTGAGATGTATTTGTTATGAAATGTACAAGCACACAGTGAAGCACTTGTGATGAAGCCTTGAAAAATTAACAAAGCTTTGTATTCTCTAGATATCATGCATACCTTCACATAGTGATTTTTCTTTCTATTTTTTGTATGTTTATTGCTGAGCTTCTGTTCATTCTTTTAGACAGGGCAGTGGTTTTGAGAATCATTAATCAAAATTAGTGTGTGCTAAATGTATTTATTTGTGTTTATATTAATGAGAAAGAGACAGAGAGTGAGAAAGAAAGAGATAGAGAGAAGGATATAAGATATAAAGCAAGAGGGAGAGAAAAGGCATTTACAAGTCTCAGTTTATCTTTTTTAGCGTGGCTGTGTTTTTTGTTTATTTCCTTAATATCAATTTTTAGTTACATGAGTCTAGCTGAATGTGACATGAAATAAGGATCCACTCGTGCTCACTTGTGCTTGTACCTAATATAGTCTTTTTTCTCACAGATTTTGAAGTATTTTAACCGTTTTTCTTCAGTATTATCTTTACAGAAATAATTATTGTACCTCAATATCCATAGTGCTGATAGTTAATTTATTCCATATGAGTGTCAGTTGCATAGAACACCAGCTTGTGTGTTTAGGTTAGAAAATGAGCAGCTAGTATATCTAATATTTGTTAAAAAAAAAATTTTTTTTTTTTTTACTTCTGTTTTGCTTTTAGTGTCATTTATTTTGCATATTTGTGCTTTTCCTCTCCTGTGAGTCTTTTTTTTTTTTTTTTTTTTTTTTTTTTTTTTTTCCAGTTGTCATTCAAGCTTTTTCATCTCTTAATAGACACTATTTCTGGCTAAGATCCTTTTCTCTATTAGGTTCAATGTTTTTATTTTCCGATTGCACCAGTCCTCAGAATTATTGTTTGTATTTGATTTTAATGTTGCCTTTGTTTATATTCTTGATATTAGTAGAGTTAGTCACTGTACTATGATTTGATTGTTTTATGGTTTGTTTGATAATAACAGTATTTTCAGGTTTTCAGTGATCTTTCCCATTCTAATGCCCTAATCAGATGCCATGTGTGCATTTTATAGTTATATGCTTGAAGCTCTGGCAAGGCACGACCCACCAGTGATGTGTTGCACTAGTTAGCTATTTGTGTACACTTTTTTCCTGCTTCATGTGGCTACTATAACTCGTCTCCTCTCCAGCTTTGTCAAGTACCTGGTTGCTATAAATGTAACCATGTCAGACGTCAGAATGGCACCTGCGGATGTAACTCTCCTTCTCCCCTCTAAACGGTCCTCTCGTTTCTGCAGTGTTCTCGCTCCACTGTTTCTCATTCCTTATAATTTTTTGTTTGTCCACCACCCATTTCTCTAAATGAGTCTATCATTTTTTTGCCATCCAATGTTTATACACACCTGTAAAACTGTTTTTAGTCCTTATAACACATCACGTGTCACAGGCCATCTCTCTATGACTCTCTCTCAGTTCTTTTCATCTAGTAAAAGGGCATTTTGTTATTCATCTCATTTTCTACTTTGATATTTAGAGTTTCCTTCTTTCTACAACTCTTTCATTTTACTGTCATTTCTGTTTTAGAAAGTGCAGGGCTTTCAGTAATCATAGATTTCAATGAATTACTTCAGATTTACCACATTACACACATGGATTCAATTCAGAATTCTGTAAAGTAGGTCCCAAAATCTCAAGAATATTGATTAGCTTCACATTTTCATCACTAGTGTTCAAAGATGCCATAGCTTCCAGCAATCCCCAAGTGATCAAAAAAAAATCCTTAACATCATGTTATTTTCTATTACCACTACTCACATCTCCTAAACAATTGTGAACTTTCTCCTGTTATGATGATTTTTATGACTGCCAACTTGTATGGTTTGTGTATCTACCTAACAAGTATCCAGCTGCTTCCCATATCACACCATTTTCTCAAACAATTACTGAACATTATGTCAAATATTAATCATCAACATTTAATCATTATACTTGTAACATTATTTCGCTTAGAATCATAGATAATGTTGTCTTTATG